TTCTTTAAACCAATCACAGTGGCCTTGGTGGAACTAAGAACATGATGCAGTGATGGTGTTGACTCAAAAAACGTGACTGGGGAGTTGTTTTGGTGGAATGAAAAGCGCAACTAGCTGAGCTGCTTTATTGCATATCCCAAACCTCCGACAGAACTTTTCAGCATGTCACTTCTGCACCGAGGTTTTTCTTTCCAGTTACTAAGGGGCTTTTGAAACTGGACAAATGTAGATATTGGAAGGCAGGGAGAAAGCTGTAAAATGCCCAGTCAGTGGCAATCCAGACTATGATCTATGAGCATGTTGGAAACAGGACAATGGAGAGTTTGTTGTGTTAGACCATTCGGTGAATTTTACTTTGTTGATGTTCGAGAGGAGAAGACAGCTACTCATTGAGGACATCGAGAGAATAGGAGGGCTTGTCGACAACTCCAAATATAACCAATCGGTATTTGTCTTCTCCCAGTTTAACCAACTGGAATGACCGCTCAGAATTGCTAACAATAGGTGCTATTTTCTCCCCCAAAAAGGACTCTGAAAGAGGGTTTTAGAGGTGGTTCTTATAGCTGGAACACACACAAAAGTTTGCCCCAAAAAAGGTCTACAAGCTCCTGAAGTGGAAAACAGCCTCATGTGTGCATATGTGTCAATGCTTCAAATTCATCGTCTGTATGGGTTTCTATTATCTCTCAAGCTTTAAAATGTATCCCAGGAAAAATCAAAGTGTATGTGCGTAAGTAAAAATATAACCAAAGCATCTGGTGCCAGCTTCCTGTACTTTTAAAGCACTAATGTTTGATATCCAACTCCAGGCTTTGCCCCCGCAGACATAACTAGACGATTTGGAGTCCGATTTCTGTACCCATCACAGTGAAACATAAATATCCATCTGAAAAGGAAATTCTGTAAGAGAGCTCCCCCTAAATCTAAATTAGTGCTTCTTTAGCCTTCTAGGTTCTTCTGTCCAGCAGGATTTTTGTGGAAATCAGTTTTATTTATTTTTTTATTCCAGGAAAACAAAGAAACACGCAAACAGGAGTAAAAGCCCAATGATGTGGAAGCAATGAATGAGTGTGACTCAAGGTTTTATTGCAGCCTGACAAAGGTGTTGCTTACTCCTTTAACCAAGAACTTTAATTACACCTTCTTCATGTGTTTTGTATCTTCGCCATGGTCATTTTAAAATTATATAAACTCGAGCTGGTCTGTTATTATTATTATTAGTAGTAATAGTCGTATCATAATTATTGTTTCTCACTGAATATGCAGCGCTTGTTAAAGCTAAAAATCAACATTACAAATAGCCTTAGGTGCAAGTGTTGTACATAAACGAGCATGTGGATGGAAACACGCGATAGTTTTAACCACATGGGGGTAGCAGTCTTTCACAGCAGTGCCAGAGGTAGACAGGGAGGCTCAGCTGGTAAGTGGTAGAAACTGTTGTTTTATGGGGCATCTCTCTTCTCCCACATGGACAGCAGTGGGAAGAGCGTTTGAAGTCAGGCCCGCTTCACCTCAGGGTGTAGAGATTGGCTATTGTTGTGCATTTAGCACCGCTGAGTAAGATGAATGTCTGGAGCTCAGCATGGCAAAACACAGTATGTGTCAAATGTGGTCATGTGTGAGCAATGTGCTGTCTTCAGAGCGGCGCTTTATGTAAAAGGCGCAATGGAAATTCAAAAGGGAAGGCTTTAGAGATGTCACCGTCTTGCTCTGGATTTTTTAAAAAAATGTAGCAGAGTAGGACTTAGCTGGGCTCTGCATTTTATCAAAGAGGGAACATGCCGACTTATTCCGTAAAAATGATTTTTGGTGAATTCTGCTCATAGAAAAAGTTGAAAGAGGACCAGAGGAGTTGATTGAGAAACCTATATTTGATTGAAATTTGTGAAGGTGCTGCATGACATCATTGTGCATTATCTTGCACTTTAAAAAAAATCTCCTGAATATTTTTTTAAATACTTTTATTCATGTAGTTGGCTGAGCTTGCATGCTCTTTGACAGCCCAATCGTCATATTCTTGCACAAACATTCATACCAGAGACTCTGAATCCAGCTGAACCACAGTGTGGGACTGTTTGTCTGTAAGTGCACTGCTCAGGGGCAAACTGATGTACTTAAGGTGGCAGAGAGCAGCACTCTGTCAAAGTACTGTATCAGTCGTTCTAGTTGCGTGTACCAATGCAAATTTTTTTTAATTTTTCTTTGACTAATAGATTTTTTTCCTGACTGGAAATGACAAACAAGTGACAAAAGATGGTAAGACATTGTGTATTTGTGTGGTTTCTATCTATATTCCAAATTTGTACAATTTTCTAAAGCGTTCTAGTATGCTATAGTCTGAGAATGGCTGATGCAGTGAGTTAATGGTCAGTTGCAAATCATGGTTAGAACCAAAGAGCTCAGTGAGGACCTCCAGTTTCACATTGTGGCTCCTCACAATACAGGGAAAGGCTACAAAGCCATCCAAGTGTTTTAAAGGTTCAACAGCAGAAACAGCCCGTAGCATTTCAAAGGGTGTGGTAGGAAGCCAAAAGTGAGCCCTGCTCTGGCAAGAATGGGGGTGCGAGACGCCAAGAAGAATCCAAGGATCAGCACCAAGAGCATCCTGATGAACGTGAGCAGTTCTGGTAGCAACACTGAACAAGGCTGGCCTCCATGAAGACCAAGGAGGATCCACTTCTCCAAGACAGACACACAAAAGCTCAGCTGGACAAAGAAGAAAGATCTTTGCCATCAGTTCTGTGGACGCATGAGATGAAAATGGAATTGTTTAGACACAAGGGCTAAAAGAAGTAGAACCATTCAACCCTGAGAATGTCACCCCGACAGTCAAACATGGTGGAGGGAATGTGAGGCTTTGTGGCTGTTACTCAGATGATGGACCAGGAAACCTGGTCAAAGGAAACGGCATCATGAGAAAAGAAGAGCACATCAAGCAGTCTGCAGAAAAAATTGTCATTGGGCAGCAGTGGAGTGCCCAACAAGACAATGAAGTGAAGCATGCAGCCAAAGTGGTGAAGAGAAAACAATGAGGAGATGTTGGAGTCTAGACCTGAATCCATCCAGAACCTGTGGAGGAACTGAAGAGCAGAGTGATGGAGAGGAAGCCTTTAAGCACAAAGAGCTGGAAATCGACACAAAGAGGAACAAAATCCCAGTGGACACCTGCAGAAAGTCTGTTAGCAGCTGTTTGATGTGGAGGCAAATGAAGGCTCTTTGTTTTGTACATGGCATTTTTAATAAAAACGTAGAACACCTCTAACATAACGTCTCACTGTCTTTGGTCACCTGTTCATGTAGTTTCCAGCCAAAAGAAACCTGCTGGTCAAATAAAAATTCACTATAAAGCAAAATCTGGCAATGGTAGTAATAATTTGGGGGCTTAACTGTCTGGTACAGAGGAGGTTAGTGATGCCTGTTTGGCACTGGATCGAATTCTGGTAGTTTTCTAAAACAAACAAACAAAAAAAGTCTTAAAAGGTTTTACTCAAATTCAGAATCTTTGTCGTGCATTTCTTGTGTTTATTTCCCTTAAACCCTACCTAAAACTAATGCGTTCTTGTATTCAGACTATTTAAATCTATGCTTCAGTTGTGCACCCTTCAAAAAAATCAGTGGAGTGTAAGACACCACATGGCTGCACCTTTCCTCTTTGCCCGGCCGGCTTCGTAGTGCAAGAAAAGAAGCACCACAGCGATGGAGGGTTTGGTTTACTTGCCAGCTGCAGTGCTTTCACTCTGGTCAGGCAGTTTAAATTGGCAGCTTGCAGGTGGGAAGACGGTTTGTAGAGAGGTTGGATCTGGAGGACCTGTAGGTGTTTCATCCTCTCAGTAAAGCAAAGACAGCAGAGCAGGAAGGACACAAACACCAGCCTCACTTCGAGGCTCTTTCACACCCAGAACTAATGCTGTAATGAGAAGTGTTCTGGACAGAGCAGCTGCTCAGTGGAGGGATGTTTGTATTTAACTATTTGTAGACAGTTTATTTCTGTCCCTATTAAAAGTTTCTCTAAACGGATGTACCAAAGGCTGAATAAGAAGAATTTGTTAAATTGTAAAGAAAGAAGAAAAAAAGTAATTATTTGCAGTCTTGCATTTGTTAACTACATTTTGTCAAATTTGAACAGGGATTTTTTAAAATTTTATTTTATTTTTTTTTATAGTGATTACCATGACTCCATCTTGTTTGTATGCCGCCTCTTGACCAGGACGTTATTGAAAATGAGAAACAGTTCTCCGTTAACTTACCTGGCAAAATAAAGGTTAAATAAAATAAAAATAAATAAATAGTGATTTAAGAGAAAATCCCGGATTACCTTTTGAGTTCTATTGGAGAAGCTCACTGTTCTATTTATGTATTTGTAGACTAAGTATGAATATTTGACCACATCCACGATTATACTAGTTCTGTACCTTGTTTTATTTAACTTAACTTAATGTCATATCTGTTTAGGGCTGCAGCTAACCAATATTTCTGTTGTCATTGAATGTGTTGATGATTTTTCTATTAGTCATGTGGTCTATAAAATGTCAGAAAACAGTGTTTCTCAAAACCCAAAACAAGGTTCACAAATGTCTTGGTTTGTCCACAACCTAAAAATATTCAGCTTACTGTCAGAGAGGAAGAAAAAAAAAATCCAATTTTAGAAGTTGGAGTTAAAGAAGTTTGACTTTTTCTTCTTAGAAAAACACTAAATAACCAATCATCAAAGTAGTTGTTGATTAATTTGCTTTTTTGTAATGACTTTGTGCTCTTTTGTTGTGTGCTGCTAACTCAAAGAGCTGCTCAACTGCCTTTTGTTGTTGTTTGACGATGACAGTAAAGATGTATTCTATGTTATATATGTGAAAATGTAAATAGTACTTCTTAGACATACTTCTGTAAATATAATCACATGAGATTGTTGTAGCATTTTGGTCTTTATAGAGTGTATGGAGCCAGAAAATAGTAGTTTTGAGCCAGTAACAGCTAATAATTTTGTACCTAATTCTTCCCCTCAGATACGGACCCCTGCCTCCTGGAGAAGCAGGAGCAGCAGCAGCCGACATATGTCGCCCTCAGCTACATCAACAGGTAAAGAAATAGGGTAATATATAAAAGAAACCTGCTGAACGTTTGCTTGTGTCTGCAGTAAATCAGTTTTATAAATCTACCAAAATTAGACATGATCATGACATTAATGCTATTAGCGGCTGGCCTGTAAAGTGTGTCCACAGAAGTCTTCTACGTCAGGAAGCGTTGTGTCATGACGAAGTGAAGCGTGTGCGCCTGTGAGCTTCTATCACCAATTTCAAATGTCATCTGGTGGATTGCTTAAATGAATCGCTGCAGTATTTGGTAGTTGGGTTTTTTATTGCGCTGGGTTAATCCCAGTTGTCTTTGATATGGTGGTTTTAAAAGCCTTATGCAACAAACCAGTGCACAGGAAGGTCTGCCACTGTCTCCCTGCCTTCACAAACACATCTTGATGTGGCTATCACTTAATTTGTTAATTCCACTTTTGCTTTAACAATGTCTATGTTAACATTTCATTTTTATGATACACATTTACCAAAGAACTTTACTGTCTATCATAAACTCCAAAAAGTTTTTTTTTTCATGGGAATCTCGCCAGCGTTTGGTTTTTCCAAGCATGTGTTCTACAGTAGTGAACCTACAGCGCAGCACACATAAAGGCAGCAAGCTGCTCACTGTACGCCGAACGAAAAAAATGTTTGCTGACCAGTTTTGTTCCACTCCAGGTTCATGACAGACGCTGCGAGGCGAGAACACGAGGCGCTGAAGAAGAAGGTGCAGCCCAAGTTGTCTCTGTCTCTGACAGGCAGTCTGTCACGCAGCAATGTTTCCACGCCTCCCCGCCACACCAGCGGAAACCTCACCCCTCCAGTCACACCACCAATCACCCCGTCCTCTTCCTTCCGCAGCAGCACACCTACAGGTAACCATCAGCGGCACATCTGGTTACATGTCCAGCAGTTAGTCACAGTGGCCACGGAACACATGCTACTTTGTGGGGGGTGTTTGTAATAGTTTGTAAGATTAAGAACAAGCTAAACTTTTTAATTTATCATTCTGGATTTCAAACAGTACGCTGCAAAGCTTTATGAATTAAGACTATGTTCCTTTATGTTGCCTGTTTTAATTGAAGGTGCTTCACTTAGCGCTTTAAACCCCAAAGTCCCCATTTATCACAGAAACTGCACAAACAGAAATCCCTGTTGCATTTTTAGCATTTTTGGAAATAAACTAAATCTAAAATAATATTTCTTCAAAACATTGTTTTTTTCCTCTCCATGTTTTTTTTTTCTTTTTAATTCCCCAAGAATAGAGAAGAGAAGCTATGATTCAGTCAGCTGCAACCGAATGTCACGTGATAAAGATTCTGGTAGTTTTCGGCTGAACTGCAGGCTGTGTTCACACAGAGCAGAGAGGAGACGAATATGGAGGCAAAATTAAAACCGACTTGAGTCATTAAATAAATGCAGCATGACTCAAAAATGGTACAGAGAGAAAAAAGTTGTCGCAAGTTGTTGAAAAATACATTCAGGATGATAAATGGTTGGAAAATGTAAGTAGGGAAATAGCTACTGTACGTGGAGCCTCTGCTTTTTCTAGTATTGGTAACAACTGTGGGCACTTTCTTTTTTTTTTCAAACTTTTTAGAAAATAAATAAATAAACCAAAAAATACATTTTGTCTCGTTTTTTTTTTCTTTTCTGTTTTTTTTTTTTTTTTAAGGATTTATGCCAGTATAACTTTGCTATTCTACACAAAATAAATGTTTGAGTTTTCTCTACTTCTAGCCATGGAGGTTCTGTTTTTATGAAAGTGCCGGACTTTATATTGCCGTTAAAAATGAGTAAAAAAAATAAATACTGCCTGGAGTTCCAGGGATTAGAAGTTAGATTAGAAGTTAGACTTCTGAATGAAAACTATCTGAACATTTTTCATCCTGAATTTTTGTTCAATTGCCAAATTTAATTATGATCAAACATAACCAGTTGGTGATAGAGAAGAAATACGTCTCAGATATTCCCAAGAATAAGGCCTTTCATACCATGAAGGTCCATTTTTAAGAAACAGCAAACATTTGCTCGGCTAAAGAAACTATGAATTCCTGCCGGCGTACCTCCAAGTATTTTCGTCCTTTTTTCACTTTCAAAAGTATAAAATATGAATCTCCAGTTGTCTTAATATCCATGTATTTCACTAACTGAGATTATATGATTATGTGTTGCCTACAAAAACTCCTCATTCACCTGGTTTTGATCCTGAATCGTGTCATATCTCACAGTGAAATTGTGGTTAACCTGTTACAGATTTTTGATTATAATATGCTGTATGTCTGTTTGCTGTCCATGTAAAATCGGTGACGGAATTTTTGACACCATGCAAACTAATTATCCAATAAGCAGAATTTTTTGGCATTAGCTGGGGGCTTTAGGAGACAACCAGATTATAAAGCTCACTTTCTGGCTTCAGAAACTCAGGGACCGCCCTCATAGTCCAGCTAATTTGTTTAATCCACTAGAGTGTACTTTATCTAACAGGAATCTTTTTTGGTCTCTGTCTTGTAACGCTTTCCCATGTACTCGTGTCCTTGTTTTGTAAAGCATGAATCCTCATGGCACAACATCTTTAGTTAATCGATAAAACAATAGTTTTGACCCAAGACCTCTGTGAAACGCACAAATTCTTTCCCACGATTTTGCATAATTCAGTCTTTCCGAACACTTGGGCACCGTAACACGTGAGGTAAAGTTTCTGGGAACGCTGCCTCAGAACACACGCTGAGAAATGCCCATGATTTTCAGCCTGAAGGCGCAAAGTTCCAGGGTTTTCTCCCCACACATGAGTCACCAAGTGTGCATAAATCAGGGCGTCTCAGACCAGTTTGTATGATTGCACGTCTGGCGCGGATTCCCCTCAATCGTTCACTATTTGTCTCCCACAGGTAGCGAATGTGATGAAGAAGAGGTAGAGTTTGAGGAGTCTGACAGTGATGAATCGTGGACCACAGAGAGCGCCATCAGCTCCGAGTCCATCCTCAGTTCCATGTGCATGAACGGAGGAGACGAGAAGCCTTTCGCCTGCCCCGTTCCAGGCTGTAAAAAGAGATATAAGGTAACTCAATACCCTACATCCTATTAGAATGTATTGTAACAGTTGGTAATATTTTCACCATGCCTGGACAGACGAAATGAAAACCTGGGATATTAGCGATTTACAAAGTGTGAGATAGCGTCGAGGATTTAACTTGTTCGCAGGAATAAATCAAAACGGATTCCCTGCTGTTGACAGTGGAAAAAATGGCTCCTACTTGAGCATTACAACAACATAAATGCATACATCTAGTCCACTTGTGTGATGTGGAGTTTTACAGGATTTTCCATTCACATCTGGCGTGTGCGGTCGGGATAAATTATGTGCAGCCTGAGAAAATTGCATTGCTGACGTGAATGACAGGGTTATAGGCGATGACTTAGTCTGAGGTAGCAGGCACCATTCGGGCATCTGTTTAGGGGCAGAACAAAATTGGTTTGCAACTAGAAAACATTTTTATTTCCCCTCCTACACCCTATTGTTGGCTGGCAACCTCGTTTTGTCCGAAAGTGATCCAAGATGTACACTGTATGGTGACCATGCTACTTTCTAGCTGTGTTTTAGACAATGGTACTCTTTCAACTTTGTGGCAGCATCTTGTCTGTTTCAGCACATAAAAGTTTGCCCTAACCTTTGGGTAAGAAAAGTTCAGACTTACCTTGCATTGTTTCTAACAACCAGCAGGGGGCGACTCCTGTGTTTACCAAAAGTAGACAGATTGTATAGAAGTCTGTTAGAAAACTACCCATCTCCTCCTTTGATTTGCTACCTCAGTAAAGGTGTTTTGAATGAGTTTATGGTCTCAATCAGTACAGTTGAGAGTCAAGTAGACGATCAAGGGGGGTATGCTTCAGGGCATGGCTACATTCTGATTGACTAGTTGCTACCATATTGCTGTGCACAGTTACCTCAGGTTATCCAGGAAGATTAACTGTTGATCATTACATCCGGACCAAGGTGGTGGGGCGCCCTGATACTTCACTGCATCCCTTGTACCAAGTGTAGTCATTGTTGTAGCAGCAGGGTTCTGTTTTAGATTCCTGCTCCCTTTCTTTGTGTCTCTACTCGACTATCCCTATCGAATAAAGGCAAAAAAAACAAAATCTAATGTTTAAAAATAATAATAAGACCAAGGCGATGTCAACCAAACTTGAGGCTTCACAACGATAGTCCAAAAACAAATACTCGATATCCGAATACAAGTTTACAAACTAAAGGTGTTGTGAGTTTGGTCTGGAAGACTCTCCTGCAAACAACTCTTGCCTTAACCACATCCAACACTTCCGGATGACTCAAAATGCGGGTCTTACCAACTAACATCAGTACCAAACTTCATTAAAGGCCCCTAAAACTCATCTCCGTGTGCCAAAGTTACACATTTAGAAGTTTTTCCCATGTAGATATTATTCCTTCCTGCTTTAAAATGGCATAGATGTAACGCTGTTGCTTGATTGAGAATGTGCAGGTGTATTTCTTTTCAACTACCCATCCCAACTCACTGCAGCTCAGCACACCAGCTCACCAAACACAACTCATCCACGCTACAATGGCAAGTTGTAATAGTGGAGTACACCAAACATGTTAATGCACAATGACATAGAAAGCTCCAGTCTGAAAGTTGATTGGATTGGTTCCTGAGACTTGTCACATATGAAACCCTGGAAGTCTGAATCTGTGTTTGTAAGGCTGTCGTCGGTACACTGCAGTTTCAAGGTGGAAATATTCAGCCGTAGAATCGACTGCTTATTTTGCTGATGATGTGTTTTTCACTGGCGAGGCTTTACGGTGCATTTAAGGCCAAAATCTGAGCAAAGTCCTGCCCCCAAGGTCCATAATCTTGTGAAACACCTTCCCTGAAGAGTTCATAGAGAAACATATTAATGCTCATTGGTTTGGAATGAGCTGCTAATCAGTCACATATGGATGCAGTTTCTGAGTTGTCCATATTCTTTTCCCCATGCAGCGCAGATGTGTTAAGCTCATCCAGTTGTTCTGTTGTTACTCCTAACACGCACCGTTTAGCGTTTATGTGTCGAAAGTGACGTCTCGTTTTTGTCTCCGCAGAATGTGAACGGAATCAAGTACCACGCCAAGAACGGCCACCGAACCCAGATAAGGGTGCGCAAACCCTTCAAGTGCCGATGCGGGAAGAGCTACAAAACATCTCAGGGTCTCCGCCACCACACCATCAACTTCCACCCGCCCATCTCCACTGACATCATCCGCAAGATGCAGCAGTAGAGAAGCGAGAGAACACCGCCATCACCAGCAGCGGCTGTTTTTCATTCCACCCCTTCCCCTCTCATCCATCAGCCCCTGACCCTTTTCTTTCTCATATATACTTTGCTATGACACTATTTTTTTTTTTTTTTGATTGCATGATAGAAGTGTATTATTATTCCATCTTGATTTTTATTCAGAATGTTGAATCTTTGTGTACTTCACAGTTTTGTACTTTGCACATTTAAGCTATTGTTTATCTTCTTTGTATTTTTTTATTTTTTTTATTTTACACACGGTGCTTGTTATTGATGAGGGCATGTTGCAGACTACAGAATGACCACATCACAAGTAGCCTTGCATGTACAGTGGGGCATTCTGCTTTTAAGGGAAGCGGAGGAAAGATTTGTTTTTGGAGAGAAAGGAGGCACCATTATCATGCTTTTGCACCTAAAATGTGACAACTGAAAAATGAATGTGTGCTGAAAATCCAACATGTACAAAAGCCGTTTTTCAGTCTCTATCAGACTTACTGTTGGACTTGACTGTAGTTCTTTTCATATCACAAGAATCCAACCCCCCCTTTCTTTTTTTAAAAAATATATTTTACTCCAACCACTTTTGTTGTGTGTGAGCACCAAAGGATTATCTCAGGTGATTTTCGCAAAGCATTTCAGCACCACAATCCTGCCCAAGTGTTTTGAAAGTATTTATGCTGTTCAGTGGGATCATGGGAACTCTTGTGCGTCCTCGTGCTCCCGATCACTTTCCTCAAGACCTACGCAGTTTTCCTTCCTTGCTACTTTACAGTAAGGGATCAAAGCACTTTTTGTAAAAGTTGCCAAACAAAATAGCATTTTTGCCAATACCTTGTTTCTAGTGTATATACGTCGAGTGTACAATTGCACGTTCTACGATAGATTGCTCCGAGTGTTTTCAGTATTGTGAGATTTCTGTATGAACAGTAGTTGCCTTGAATTGTAAACCATTCCAAACAGTACAGTAAATCTTTGTATGGTTTCATTTTGACAGTTTATACGAATTCAGCTGAAGGCAGGCAGCCACTTCAGACTGTTTGCTGATCTCCCTGATCTTACAGAACTATTTGATTAATCCATGATATGGATAATATGAAAACAGGGGCTGACTTTGGCCATATATTTAGCACACTGATGTTCTCACAGTTTGACTGAGAGAAACACATGCAGTTCTTACTTTGTGCCATAACAACATAATGTCATTCATCCGTGAAGACTTAAAAATGATGAACCACGGGTCAAGCAATGCCACAAGAAATAGGAATTATCAACACTGAGCCATTAGCTAAAAATCTTCACAGCATGGATGTTTGTGTGTTAATAAAGTACGGCCCAATTAAGAATTGTGGCAGTATTATTCTGCCAGTATGGAGAAAACTCTTTGATATAGTGTACAGTGAATGTATTGTCATGTGTTAAGTGCATTAAATTATATTTTCATATGTTTCTGAGGTAAGACAAAAAGACATATGTATGAAAACGTGTATGAAAAGCTAAAAACCAGAGGTGGTGACGTACTGTATTTCTTCAAAAAAAAGCTGCTTCATGTAAACTTTTGTTACGTTTAGAATAAAAGTTCCTCTGTTCCTCTCGACTCCAGCGTTATTAACCCGCGTTTGGACACAATGATTCAGTTTCAAACAGACTTTATTCGTTCATTTTAGATACATGAAACTCACCGAACTAATGAAACATTTCTATGAGTAAAATAACTTAATACGTTAAAAGAGGAGAACAAAATGGGGGCGGGGGAATTGAACAGAAGCTCAGCATGCACTGATTAGCTAATGATATGAAAAGTTTAATAAGGATTCAGACACAATTAAATAATTAGAATCGAAACAAAAAGGAAACCTAACGAGAAAAAAAAAACAAATCTATATCATACACAAAGTATCAAGGCTGTCACAATATCATTGGCTTTAATTATTCTAAAATAGATGATCTGATGATATACTGTATAATCATGTATGGATATAATCACTGAAGATTTCTCCCTGACTGCATATAGTGCACCAAGGCTGCTTTCTATGTATAAAGAATGACCAAATGACTTGTACAGTGATGTTGAAGGGGGAGGGGGGGGGGAAGCATTTGTTTGCATGTTTTTAATGTAAGTTTGGTAAACACTTATCTCTTTCCCTGATTCGTTACATCCTGTAGTCTAACAGATCTGTGAGAGCCGAGTCAATTAAAAGTCAGTATATATATTCGTACAACAGTCTTATCCCCCTAAATTATTCTTCAAATCCAAATGAAGGGAAATCTTTCACCTATAAAAAAAAAACATTTTGGTTTGCAAACATTCAGTAGCCCTGCGATATACACTGAATTAGAACGTCGTTTTTAAAATGTCACATCACCTCAAAGTGTTTCTCTAAGTTGAAGTAAGAAAGCGAAAGTCAGTATAGTCCTAAAGAGAGGATCTTCACACCATTACATGCAGAAAAGAGTGCAGAGTGACTGATTTCAGTGGCTGACGGGGAAGTTGGCAGACTGGATGTGCTGATTTTTTTTTTTTTTTCTGTTTCTCTAGTCGAAGTTGAGCGGGTGGCCGTCGAAGTGAGTGAGCACGTGATTCTCAAAGACCTTCTGGTCGCAGTCCAGCGGGAACTGCTCGCTGCACATGGGGCAGATTTTCCAGTGGCTCTCCACGTGCTCCTCAAACTTGCTCTGGTCGTAGTTGGGCGGGAAGATGACCTCGCAGAGCGGACACCGTTTCATGTCCATGCTGGAGATGAAGAGGAAGCCGGAGAGAGAGAACACTCGTGTTAATAGGCAGACAGGCAGTGATGTGGGCAAACCAGGAGCTCTGGCTAATAAAGAGCATCTGTCTGATGCGACGTGGGTGGCCTGCTGCTCGACTAATACCAACAAAAGGGGGCTGGGCAGCTTTACGCAAGTTACAATGCACAGGTTTAGTAACTGTAGGGTGCAGCAAACTTGGACGGCATTTACGAGAGTTGAGGCATGCGAGGGTGTGTTACCTGGGATCAAAGCAGAAGGCAGTTTGTCCATCATTCACAAATGGGCTATGAGTTTCAGTTGCTGTGGGCTGTTCATTGGTGTTACCCTGAGAGACAGAGATAAAACAGCATTCAAATTAAAAAAAATAATCAACAGCACAGAATGGACAATAAACTTTAAGTATTTAACTGCATAGCCGGGAGAGGCTCACATTGTTGTTTTGCTTTTCCTCTGACTCCTCGTGGCCTTCTGGCCGACTGTGGTTGCGGGTGGGTTGGATACACACCACATTGCTGTCCCAGGAGGGCGGCCCAACGGGGGGCAGCCTCAGTGGCTGGTCATCTGAGAACTCCTCGTCTGCCTCATCTGCACGGAAAGAATTCAGAGACTACTGTAAATAAAAGTCCGTCGTTTCTGCCACTGTCGGCAGAGAACAGGAGATGCGACTTTCTGGAAAGAGAGCCAACCTTTTGAGTCTGAGATGGAGTAAGGGTTCCCAAAGTGTAGCTTGCTGGGGCTCTGAGAAACCAGCAGAGGGGTGGGGGCATCCTGGGTGTAAGGGACTGGGTACTGCAGGAATAAAGGCACACTGGACTGGAGGTTCTCCAAACTGGTTTTCTCACTGGCCCCCTGATCTCCCTTCTTGCTGCTGCCCTTCTGGAGCACCTGGGGAAAACACAACAGCAGAACCTTTCAGACCAGCAAAGTCTAAAAATTAAATAACAACATAGACATGGAGTTATGTATCTTGTTTAAACTTTTATTTATTCAATGTAGTTTCATTAAGCGGTTTCCCAAGAGTGCCCCGATCACATTCACAACGCAGTACAACCACAGTCTGACCTCCTGGGCAATTCTATCCCACTGGTTTCAGGATGGAACCGATAAACTTCCACGCAGCACGGTTGCTTCTCTAACCTTCAGGCAACCACTTCCCCATATCTGATTTCCTGTCTCTGAGCCTCCCAGTCTGATAAGGCAAGAAATCCATCACTTCTTACAGTCCCAAAGCAAAGCTGCGAGTTCTTCCCGTTTTGTCTTGCTCACTCAACCAGTTTAATTAGCACCTTCATTAAAAAAGAAACTCTTTTCATTTTCAAAGGGAATGGGACTCTGTGTTTTATTGATGTTAGTTGCAGACGCCAAGTTAATTTACAGTCTAAACCTCAAATTGGGTCATTCTACTCCTCTTAACTATAACAGCATTACCTCGAAGCAATATTTTAGGTCAGTGAAGACCTTACTGTGGCCCGAAGTAATGGAATGGAAAATAAGAACTCATTTACTTTGCGTCTACAATTAGAGGCATATTAAACACAGACCAGATTGGGAGAGGGAAAATGGCAGGGGTATGGCACATTTCAGGGAATTTTTAGAGTGGAAGAAGTCTATAAAAGAGAAAATGAAAGCTGTCACTAACCCCCTCCAGTTTTTCCTTCTCCTTCACAACAAGCGCAAGTGAGTCCTTCAGTTCCTTCACTTCCCGTCCTTTCTCAGCTACCTGGCTCTGAAGCAGACAAACGACACAAAAACAAAGGGATGAAGAGACATTTTCTATCCTCAAACTTCTGATGTGCTGCTGATTGAAAAATGTGCCACTGAAATACAATCAGACCTCAGTGCGTGACATTAATTGATCACAACCATAAAAGGCTTCCCTTTGCTGAGGACTGATTTATGCTCAATACCGCTCAAAGCAAAACAACCTGTTTGAATTCCTCTGAGACACTAAGCAAATATCCGCCTGACCTGAGCCAAGCACAGCATTAGCCAGGCAACTAGAGAAGACTCCTCCGAGCCAAGCTTTGCTTGTCTCCAGAGCCTGACATAAACAGCAGTAAAATGTCGTCTCACAGATAGGCCTACTCATAAACAACACTGTCAGAGCAACTGTGTTCAAGGGGAGAGATAGCATCAAAGGCTCCATCCTTGAGCTAGACCAGCCATACACAGCGGTAAAAGCCCAGAAGAGCCTAAAGACAGGCCTGCTTTGAAGACAGCAGAGCATCGCTGGCAAAGTGTGTAGTCTGGCTGTACTAACCTTATAACGATCTTCTTCTGCTGCAAGCTGCAGCTTCAGGTTCTCGTTAGTCTTCAGTTGCTCCTTAAATTTCACCTCCATCTTGGCCAGCTCATCAGCAAACATGCAGCTACGCTCCTTCTCCTCCTGGAGAGCAACAAACGTTGTCCAATTCTCTTTTAATTACAGCGCATCATCACCTTTAAAACTACAGAAGTCCTTCACATGTTTGAGCATCCAGTTTAGGGATGCATGGCCAGCAAAAACTGTAAAAAAAAAATAAAATAAAAATTTAAAAAGCACTTCTTACCATCAGCATCTGCTTGCATTTTCTGTACTTGTCATTCCTGTCTGACGCCTCTCGGCTGATGCCTTTGAGTTTCTCCTGGATGATGGCTTCCAACATGGGATCAGCAGAACCAGGACTCCCTGAAAAGACAAAGACGGCGAGTCAGACAGTTTGCTCAGTTTTTTTTTCCTCCCAGTTTATCTGTTCTTTAACAACAAAACTAAAAACTAAGAAAATAGGCTCCCATCCCACCTACTACTCAATTTATCGAAGCCGAGTTCAAAATAAAGCTACTGACTGACTGATATCCCAGGCAAAATAATACAAACTACAAAAGATAGTTCCACATTTACAACGTTTAAAGCATTTTTGAATTTCAGTTGCATTTTCCAGTTGCAATTAGTCATTCCAAAACTTAAAATCTGGCATAATTAGCCATAAGTACCTGGCACAGACGTGTCTGGACTCACTGACGCAGGGACTGCTGCAGCATCTTGTGCTGAGCTTCTCCTCACATCCTATCGACAGGGAAAAACAAATCATTTAAACGCAGCAAGACAGAAACAGAAGAAAACAGAAGACAAACTAGCTGTGAATAAACACAGACATGAGCTGGATACACATAAGGAACTGTAGCTATCAGAATATTAACATAAAAACCAGAAAAAAACAACAGTTACAACAAGACAATTGCCCAGATTGTGTTTTTTGTGTATTTATATTGCAAAGACATTAAAATGGGGATGACTAAATGTCTCACACAATCACACTGCATGTTGATGAAAATGAGTTTGTCTAGTCTCATGATGTACTGCAGTCAATAAATGACTAATACATGCTGAGAAGTGGCAAAATGACCTTTTAAATCTGAGGGCATTTCATGAGATTTGATATTAAGGTATAGTGTTACAGATATCTAATGTAAGTTCTGTTCTTTAACTTGTTTGGACATGAAATCAGCGTGCTGGCTGGCATCTGGCAGGACCTACCCCTTGCTGTTCCGAGAGTTTAAGCACTTGTTTTTGCAGACGCTGACATTCCTTGTATTTCTCCTTGTAGTGCTCTGCAGCCATGTGCAGCCGCAGCTTCAGGTCCTCCACCTCTCTCTGCAGCTCTGCTACAACAGCTGGGTCGGCAGCAGCTTCTTCCACTGCTTTGGCCTGTCCATGTAAAACGTAACAGCAGAGCAGATCAGACACCAACAACGTTACTGGGCCAACTGCACAGACCGAGGAAAGCGTTATAAAAAGCATCTTCTAACAGTAAGTCATCACCTACTATGACTAACACTGTTTGTATATTAAAGAGGTGCTATCAAACGATGCTTTATTACGAGATTGGTGATCAATAAAAATCAACTATGGAAAGAATTACAGCCTCCTTTAAAGGCAGAAGCAGTAAAACCTCTTGTGGGAGAAACTGTTTGTTTTGCTCTTTATAGCATTAACTTTCTGAAACTTTCGTACTGGCTTCAACCAAACCTAGGATATCTAGAATACAGTTGGACTATGATATACAGCAGTTTTATGATTTTACTATCTTTCAATCCATCCATCCATCCATTATTTATACACCACTTAATCCTCACTCGGGTATCTTTCAATCCTGTGAGGCAAATTAATGATAAATGTTACAAGTTGTGATCTACATTTTGCACATGATAGGAAAAAAATGGCCCTTTTACTTCTGTGTTCTCATTAAATTATAGTTTTTAGACATTACCTAAAAAACATTTCTTGTTACTTTCATGGTGCTAACTATTCAACATGTGATTATGCATGTTGCTACATATTAGTATGTACTTAAATAAAGTTTTTAAACTCAGGTGTTTCCATCAAATTGATCATTATGGCTCTGGGTCATTGAATACTAGAGGTTTTCTACACTTGCACACCGCCTACACTTGCTTACTAAGCATGTCTAATGATAAATGAAGTATTTCTCATACAGTAAAGTTCACTCAAAACAACAAATCCGGCCATCGCTCATCCTTACAGCTTCCTGCTTGGCGTCTGCCTTCATCTGCTCTACCAGGCACTCCAGGCGGGCGCAGTGGGCCTGAGCCTCCGCCTTGGCCTGGCGAAGGGCATCGGCCTCGAGCTTCATGTGGTACAGTTCGGACATGGTTCGGTCGCGTGCGCTTGAGGCGTCCCTCAACTCAGCCGCCAACAAGGAGGACTGCTGCTGGTTGGCCTGGAGCTGCTCCTCCTTCTGCCGTAGCTGCTCCTTCAGGGCTTTCATATCTCCCTGCAGGAAACAAACACATTTTAGGTGTTTTAATTTACCTTAACTCCTCTACAGATGTGTTATTATGCATCACATTGTTACTTCTGGTCTTTCTATAATTAGTCTTTAAATTATCATGTGATATAAATATAAATCAGGTTAAAAACTGTCCATCATAATCTAGCTAGGTGACTTTTTGACGCCGCAAAACAAAATTATTTATACCAAGGGGGAGACTTTGGCCAGGATCTCTCTGTACTGTTTCTCCTTCTCGGTGAGGCATGCTTGCAGGCGTCCCACCTCCTCCTTAAACTGGGCAATTGTGTTTTCCTTGTTCACATCCACAGACTTCAGCATCTGCAGCTCCGCGCTCAACTTAGTGTTTTCCAGCTCCCGGTTTTTCAGGTGAATCTGGTACGCGCACACACACACACACACAAAAAAGTGATGAAAACACAAGCCCACAAAGACACAAAAGAAGATATAAAACACACAAGCAAAGTTATAAAACATAAAGTTGTTGGCTTTTGTCTCATTTATTCAACACCAATGACGATCATGTACCAAAGAGCACATTAAAATAAATGTTGCATGACCTCAATTACAAAACAGAGATTGAGATAGACCTATAAAGTTGTCCTTGTGCAACAGCCCCAGTGTGATGGTGCAAGTTAAATTAGGTATGGGTTTTCGGCCTCATTTCTGTGGCGACACGACAGTATGTGGCACTCCCACTTCCTGTGCAGTGTCCGCACCAACAAAGACAAAGAAACACCAGACGGACCAGAAGACAGAATAAGGCATGCCCTGTTTAGACTAAAAGGTTGGGCAAAATAATCCCAGAAGTACAAAGTGGAAAAACAGGAAGGAAACCAAAAAAGTAAATGAACTACACCTCGCAATTTGGTGAATCTAAAATAACAACAACGCTGTAAATTGTACAGAGTGTAAAGCTGTCACTAACTTAGCAGTCGACCAAACTACAGCTGAGGCCACCCCATCGACATGATGTGACAAAGTGCTTAGCTGCTACCGACCTGCACCTGGACATCCTTATTTTGGATAAATCTTTAAGTGATAACACAACATTGAAACAGGACAAGTATTATCTGAGGGAATTTTAACAGGCAACTTTATTTGGGAAGAATTATTTATTGTAAAATGACCAAGGTGATTTTGCAGCTTCATTAAAAATACAAAATACTACAAAAACAGCTTTTAAAAGCAGCTTAGAATCTGTCTGATTAGGTGTGACACTAGCAGAGACATCCAAATTAGTTGGGTTTTTTTTTTGCTTTGGATGTCATTCAGATCTGGCTTTGCACTTTTTGTACACAGCTTTGTGGTGCTGATTTAAGCTGTTAAATTAAATTTGTTGTGTTGCCTCGTGTAGTGCCAACACGTACAAGACACCACTGACACAGTACCTGTTTTTGGTCAACATCATCTTTGCTGTGACTGAAATATTTCCATGCAACTGAATTTCTTTCCGCAAACAAATCTCCTTTTTCGGTGCTTCTCTATTTCTTGCTTATTTTGCCGCGCACATGTGGAGCCTGCATGTCAACAGACTCTGTCTTGTGAGCAAAAAGTTTAAACAAAGTCAGTGTATCCAATAAATTGGAGTAAAATATGTTCAATCACACAGAATTCTCTCGTAGATTGGTCGTGGAAAATGGGAACCATGTGATTTTTCTTTTTGCATCAAGCAGAAAAAAAGCATGATGTTTGAGTTAATTCGCCTTACTTCACAGTGCCTATTGAGCATGCTCTCATTGCAGTGTCGATGCTGAAACGAGATACTGTGCGGCCCTACAAGAAGCTTATAAAACATGTACACTACCTTGTACAGTTCCTTCTCATCTTTCTCATTCTTGAGATGAGATTCAAGAGCCTCCTTCTCTGCTGTAAGTTTCTTCACTCTGTCCTTGAGACTAGAAAAAAAAAAGAGGCCATAAAAATGATAGTCGTGACCTGTCACAGTGTCTATGTCCACATAATAATTCTCTGCAAGCAAAACAAAAACCTCAGTAAATCTGCAATGAGCCAGCCATCGAGAACTCACCTGTCCAGCTCGGTTTCCTTTTGAAGGCCCTTCTGTGTGACTCCAATCAGATCCTCCTCCAACTGGATAATTCTGGCTGTGGCCTCCTCCAGTCTTCTCTTCACCTCTTCTTTCTCCTCTAGCAGGGCCTGGGAAGAATGCTGCACCTCCTGGGAGACAGAAAACCAAAAAAAAAATGAGGACGAATGCTTCAGATTGGTAACGTGCATCGCCTGAAGTACAATCATTCTAACAGATAAAATAAATAATATAATCCATTTTACCCCAGATCTATGTGAATCTAGATGGGTTAAAATCTTGTCGTGACAAAATAATACTAGCTCGCTAATATACGACTTTCCACTTCTGTCTTTGACTCCAAGCTTGTGGAAAACGTGTGCAAAACATAAAAATTTTATTGTCTCTGAAATGCGAGGCTAAATCAAAACGAACATTATGGCTCGATGCGGCGTTTCAACTTAAGAAGATGACATCAAAAACGAAATGATTTTCTTACAATTTGTTTATAGGCAGAATTTTGGAATCTTTATATTCACACCACATAAAAAAATCATATAAAAGTATAGTCATAAAATTAACAGCCACAAAATCTGTAATCATGTTTTCATCTGAAAGCCGCTTTAAAACCTGCAGATTTATGGCAGAGGACGGCAAAATAAATTATTACTGACAATGCTTTTAAGACTTAATGTTATGCTATAAAAAGCGGAATTACATCTTTGATAATACAGACATTCATATCTGTCACAGTGTGATTTACTATTTCAGAGTATCATGAGTTTGGACACCTCTGCATGTTGGGAATCCTTCACTAGGGGGTGCTAAGAGACTGTTTGGCCAAATATAAAATGGCCCTTTGAATAACTACATGAACTAGACAAGAGCTGCAATCACATAAATTCATAGTTTGTGCCGCCAATTCAAAGTACAACTACCAAATATAACAACAGCTGGAAAAGCCATTTTGGTTCATTAGCAGTCCAACAAATATGACCTTTCTCCTACTGCTACTGCTGGCTCTTCTATCTGCCTTCAAAAAAAAGCGACTCAGTCATTTCTCTGCTTACTTGGTTTTCTCTTCTCAGCTGGGCACAGATCTCCTTCTCCTGCTCACACTCCTTCTGCAGACTTTCTTTCTCTGCTTCCAGCTGCTCCTTCTCCTGCTGCAGGAGGGCCATGTTTTTAAGCAGCTCATCTTTCTCTCTCTGGGCTTCTTCCACCTTTTGCTGCAAAGAAAAAAAGAAAAAAATATATATTCGAGATGTTTAAATGTTAGCCATTAAATAATTTATTTCACTGACAAATGATATAATTTAGACTTTTTTTTACAATTGCATGCTGTGTTACAATGAGACAGAATTGAAATTTAACCCTCTGAACCCCAAAACTCGCTGGCTACTCTGAAAGGCAAGTCGTCTTTGTAAAAAATGCCAAAATAACACAATTTATCACATCCAGAAACTGTAAAAACAGAACTTTCCAGCAGTCTTTGAACTAATCATGTGTGACATGCCATTCTGTTAGTGGCATTTCCTCAAAAGCACTGTTTTCTACATGTCTTATTTAAAAATAGGCTAAATACACCATTTGCTCTAACCAGATTCTCTAAAAAACAAAAACCTACAAACTCCGTGATCCTCTTTGCAACCGTGAAGCCATTAGTGATTCGGCTGCAGCTAGGGTCACGTGACAAAAATGTAGAGACAAACAAGAGGATGCAAATATGTAAACAAGTTTAAAATGTAAATAGTAAAATATCTGTAGTATGTAGAGTCGCCATTTTTTGTTATTTTGGTAACACCTGTGTTTATTTTGGTTTTGTGTACCTGTGCAATAAAATAAATGCTACTTGGCTCAAAAACAGTATACAGTGGAGCAAGTTCTCACCAAGTTGTTGGAAGCGTGGGGAAATAGCTTTCTCAAGTTGATGTGCACGGTGTAAAAACAAGTTGGTAGAGTCTATAAAAATGTAAGTAGTCAAATATCTATAGTATGTAGACACAACATTTGTTTTTAAGTAGCGGTAACACCTGTGATTATGTGGGAAAATGTCATACGTGTTGATCCCAGCTTAGTCAAGTTGTGAAAAATAATTAAAGACATTCAACATCATCTTTCTTTTAACTGCATTATAACTGCACAGACGACATTGTTGTGTTCCAGCGGTTGTGTGGTTCCCACTGACGGGCAGGATTTTATATTGGAGTGATAAATGAAAAGACGATGAGGAAAAATGTGCCAGGGGCAAAAAAAACGCTCAGAAACTGCTTGGGGGGTTCGGGGCGGTTAATTAGAATTGCTAGATGTGACAGCATAACAAGCCTTATCAAAGCTCAGAGTTATTGCATACTGCTGCTGAGGTGCACTGTACCTCAAGGAAGCCAGCCTTGGTGGTGACCACCAGGATGTCAGAGTTGCATTCGTCCTCCACAGTCAGCAGCTCGTCTTCTGAGGGGCTGTTGGCGCGAAACTGGAATGGTGTGCTGGCCCCCCGGATCTCCCCTTTGTGTGTCACATAACAGAACTGGTAGAATTCACCGTCGTCATTGGGTACATAATATCCTGGCAGGGGGAAGAATGACACCCAGTCAAGTCAATACAGGCAGGGGCGAAGTGTAGCCTTTTTTTTTTTCTTTTTTTTTTTAAATTTCAACCTGTACACTGATCAAAAACGTACAACAAACAAAAAAGTATATAAACTGCTGCACTGTGTTAGCTGATTGATCTGGAGCACACACAATACACGTGTAAAGTTGTTGGTTTCAATCAAAAAAGGGAAATCAAATCTTTTCTTTCTTTGCGCCACTTTCCAATACTTTATAAAGAGTGGTATAAAAAGATTTAAAAAACACATAAACTCACATGTCGTTAACACCAGAAAAGAGATGTGTGAGGAACGTTTCCATTTCATTGCATTCATATCGATTCAGTATTAAACTTTAACAATCCTCCGAACAGCACCGTGATATGCGGTCATTAAAAGGTGTCAAAGTTATAGAAAACTATGGTATGATCTTACCCTGAAAGACCACTGTTCTGTGGACTGCGGTGCCTTCCACATAGTTCTCAGGGAGAGGCGACCACAAGAATGTATAATAGTCCCTCGCTGTGCTCCAACCAACCTGTGAGACATTGTGGGGAATCCATTCAACCAGACGCTCTCACCACATCAGTGTAAGATAATAACAATGAAGGATTAACAGGGAGACTTTCCCGAATCCACAGTGTCACTTCCAAAATGTTTCAAACCGGTTCATTACGGTAATCATGGGGTTTTTAATCTATGTTGGGATGATAGCATAAGAGCGTGTCTGCTGTGACATTTTTTTTCTAACAAGAAAAATTATCATCTGGAAACCACTCCTGGTCACCATGTGCATGTGGCCTGGCCCTTGTCATGAACAAGCCCAACTGTGGAAATGTAGCTACAACTCACTTCTAACAGGAAGAGGGAAATAGGTGAAAATTTTATACATAGGCAACTTGAAAATGAAAACCAAAATGTAATTATACGCATTTTATGTGTTGTTAACTGATGGCTGATGAGGGGGAAGTGCAGAAAATACATCCATAACTTCAGACCGGTGCCATAAAACTGTCAAACAAAATCAGTGTCACATTGAGCTGGCTGGTTTTCGGTGTGCACACACACAGGCGCACACATGCATCCACAACAAGCCCAGTAAAACCAGCCTATTACCCAAGTTTCTCACACAAAACATGATTTAAGTTGTGATGCGACTATCAAAACTTTCTGGATTATTCACGTGAGCAGATCACATTGCAATGCGTACAGTTTCTTGCGACAGATATTGCTTTTTGGTGTAAGTAGCCTTTTTTCACCGTCTGTGCAGTTTATTTTCTCACCTGTGTGCAAACAGCCTCCAGCTACAATGCTGTGAGTGTTCATCGGAGCCAGAGATAGAAGGCTCTGGTGCTCCAAAACCCCCAATTGTTACCAGTGCAGTTCCAGCCTCCAGCAGTAAAGAACAGGAAGCAATTAAAACATGCACCTAGTTAGTGAGTGTCATTACTGAAGGCTAGCCTTCACCAGTCCACTCATTAGAGCTGCAGAGGTGGTGGTGGGTAAAAGCTCTGAGAGGAACTTGCAACAGACCTCTCTGCAATGTTTACACATAAGGAAGACAGGAGGGAGAGACAGTGGAGGGCTATCATAGAGAAACTACTGGCAAAAACACAAGAGGAAAATCTCTAAAATCTTCCAAATGTGACCACAGAGTCTGCAGATGCAATACGTACTTCAGGTCTAACATCACTTTTCACTGTCATTCCTACAAAGTCATAATTGTGCAAGAACGCGGACAGACGTTAGCTTGAATAGTACTGGAGCAGGAAACTATTGTCTATGTGTCAGTCTGTTAAGTAGTGAGTTGTTCATGAATCACAGAGAGGTTGTGCTTATAGACGCGTTAATTATAAAGCTGAGCTTGCTTTCTCCAAGGCCGCACCGATAACCTGTCCCAACAGCATTCCTGCATAAAGCTGTGCACAGTTCACATCAGCATGGTACAAAGACTCCTTTTGTCTATAGCTAAAACTAACTGGTTCATTCAAAAAATGTAAACAATGTCATGTTAGAGCATATATGAAGAAGTTTATCATAATCCAATTTAGTAACCTTTCAAACAATCATAAGACATGTTTAAGCTCCTGCCAATAAAGGCTTTTCAAGGAGGGACTGTTGCGCCTTTATTCCACCTCGCTGTTCTGTGTGTAAAGCACTGAGACGTAATTGGGGGGCATTGTTGTTGTGCCTTTAAGCCGGCAGCAGAGGCAGTGACAGAGCTGAATTGGCATTTGTGTAAAAAGAGGGGAAAACAGCATGGTGGAACGAGCCACACGAGACACCGATGCTGAACCAAACACCAGTATCCTGTATGAAAGAAGACACTGGTCTGAGCAAGCGATGGCAGCATAGCAGCAGCATTCTCTGTGTGAACGTGACTTTAGTTTTTCCTGTACTTCACATAATTAATCATATAGAGAGCATGCATTTAGATTAAAAGTATGCCAAATATATAAAAACTCATACAAAGTGGCAGCATTTCAAATAATCTAAAGAAGTAGCCACTCTAATTGACATAATGCCAACAGCAACTAAACATGCACATGGAGCCAACACTGCAAATCCCAACATATAGCACATCCAAGCATCCCTGCGCATGCAAACAAAAGAGCTTGGCAGCAAACGCCCCATCTGTCAACACTGCCAAGAACATCTACACGATTTACAATCCTGCACTCAGCCTTTTCCAGCAAAGCTTTATAGTTTGGAAGCTACAGAAATTAGTGATTTTAAGATCCATACTTCCAGCTGGTGCCTACCTTGAGGCTAATCACAATGTGATGTGGTATCCAGCTACAGTGGGCGTGCTGAATCCACTATTTAAACAGCCCCCAGATAATACCTCATCCACCGCCAGTAACCTAATATGACCTCATTTCTCGGTGTACTTGGGGGAAAACCCATTCATAAAACACACAATGGGACTTGTTGGCATTATTTTTCATTCGTTACCGTGAGCGATTTACACCTCTTCTGTTTAGCAAAGCTGCATTCATTTGTTTTGGCAATTGAATTATAGTGTGCTATCAGAATAAATGTAAGCCACAAGTACACTTCTGACTTCCACCCTCTGCACAGAAAGCAGTGTGAAGTTCACTAAGTCATAAATCTAGTGCCTCAGACCGTTTCAGACTCATCTTCACCTTTCCAACAGATTAAATCAATAAAAGTGAGCAACACACTCATCATAGCTTTGAGGTGAGCACAATAAAAGTATATGCTTGAGACATGCACTACTCCAATAGATCTAAGAGTTTATTAAACACACTTGTCCAGTCTGTGGTTAGTGGAGGTGATGTACTGCACTGTGTTGAAATAAATTCTATTAAGACTATGTAAGTTTTGGAAAAAGAAATCAGATAAAAAGTTATATTTATATGCAATAAAATGCACCTTTGCTTAATTAAACTCCCTCACAGGTTTTGTATCCACAGCCTGACTTGGCCTGGTAGGACCTTTATCTACTGGTGGCTAAAACGTTACAGAGATGTCACCGTTTGACTAACAGTACTTAGTCCGTTTGCTCTATCTGTGTTGCAGAACGCAAACAGAGAGAGCAGCAAGATTACGTTTTTTCATTTGTTATGATTTAATCTCACTTCTCTAGTAGATAAAAAGCATGTTGGTCTCCAACAGCCTGGAGTCATCCGCGTTTCAGAAGAAGCTAAAATAAATTACTGCCACTGAATTGGATTTAATGCGCTCCTATAACAAGAGCCATGTGGGACACTCAAGCTTGCTGTAGGGGTCAAAAAGCTCCACTCCCTCTGCCAAGCTCATTTTTCAAATAAACATGACCACAATTGCTCAGTTTTTCTCACGAATGGATTAACACTTTGTTCCCACCTTTATAGTAAAATCTCCATGTCATATCTGTAAAATAAAATTCTGAAGCAAAGCTGTGCAGCATTCGCTAGTATAGAATGAATGCCATGATTAGACAGCCAAGATGTCTTAGCTTCATAATAGAAACAGAATTATCAGAGAGTACATTCAAGATTTGCCTTCTGGTACTTCACAAACAACATGATCTAGTCATAGGAATACACTGATATAAGTAATTACACCCATAAACTCATAACATTTGAAGACTTTTATAACACAGTGACGAGGGTAGTTCACCTTGAATATGCCAACCCAGTCCTTTGGATGTGGTTTGATGAACTGCGTCAGGGTATAGTGACACTCCAGCGCAGCATGGGGCAGGTAACTCTTCCCCACATTCTGGAAGATGACGTGGGCAAAGTTTGATGTGTCCATGTTGTTTCCTAACAAAGTCCCGTCCAGGAACAGTGCCATAAATCACTCAGCAGTGGCTACACAGGAAGAGAAAAGCAATAAAACATATGAAACAACCATAGAAATGACGACAATGGGACCATTTACCATGACTGAGAAGAGATGAAGAGTTCTACACAAAAAAACTGAGTTAATTCTACGTTGTAGTATAATATTTTTCATTTAATCAGCTGTCTAGTATACAGTATATTTTGAATCATATGTCTGTAACAATGCTGATAATCTTAATCAAAGTCAATTTGAATATAGAAAATCTAATCATTATTTAAAGATAGGGTGCTGCTTTTCCCTCACCGAGTGGATAGAGGTTTCTATCTTAAATCTGAGGTCATATGGTGTTTGTGTGTGCAACATGCTTTCTTCCATTCAAAACTGCACATAACCAAAAATATAAGAAAGCTCTGGGCAAAATATAAAGTCACAATCCAAGTCTGTCATTGAGAATTTGCTTCCAATTGACAGTGGTGAAACCCAGGCAAGATCCATGACAGAAATTTAGGGATAAACCAATTATTAGCTAAGGGGATGGTTCGGTCCAATACTCAGACTCTTTTCAAATTGTTCTCCTTCAATTAAAGAAAACATAAATAGAGACATTTCAGCTAAGGTTTGTGTTGTCTGTTGTGTCATTCTAAAAATCAGCAGAATTAGCATTTTTACTTGAAATTGGTTATCGGTGTCCGTGACTAATAATCAGCCCTGGAAAAAAAACTTTCAGGTAACCCCTACCAAGTGACATGATGGACAAAAAAATGTAACATGAAGATAGTAGATATATTCACACAACTTTTATTTATCCATAAGACACCAAACTAATTCTTAAGTTCATCACACCTTTAAGTGTTTTTTTGATTAGTCTAGTTCATTTGACGTGTTTACAACTGACTGAGGACCGTCTCAAGACAAATTACTAATGTTTTTTTTTCATGGTATTGCAATGTTTCATGATCTTAAATATAAAAAATGAATATTGAAGACAGGTACACTGATAGCAACATGTAAGAGGTATCCAAAAGAATCTATGGTTCTGTGTCCACAACATTTACATGGCAACGTCTTCTATCAAATGCATAAGTGCAACCGCTGTCCCAAATGTACTTCAGTGTTTATCTTCCTTATTGCTTTGCCTTAAATAGATTTTGAAAGTAATGCTGACTGTCAAGCTTTTTTTCTGATTGTCCAGCCTATATTTGCAGCTGAATGTAAAAAGATAATGTGGTTTGACTTTGTAAACACAAACTGTTTCCCAACAATTTGTTTATTTTAAGCTTTGACCCTTTTAGGTAATAGAAAAAAAAATACTTTGTCACTAAGGATGAAGCATTACTTAGCTTCACTTTTGATTATAAAGGCACACTTCAGGCCTGGAACAAGATAACACGTTTACATATATGCAACGGGTGGCAATACTTACTGCATGAGTCACTGTTTGAGAAAATTACTTTACTGAAGGCACAGAAGTAGAAGTGACCTAGTGTGTGTATGTCAACTTTGCCTCGTAAACATCATTATATTTAGGTATAAATACCTAAATACAGACATAGTGCCACCTCATACAACAAATAGGAGGCTCTGACTTCGATTTTTAACTCAACACTAAACACAAGCCCACATGATTAGCGATAAGGTGACTTATTCATCTGGGGGAATTTTCCAGTTGGGCCTGAGCTGACTTTAATTTTGCTCGACGTATTAGGCCTACGAGAGTCAAAACATTTCCTCTGCTGATGAAGACCGACCGAGTTGTCATCTACAGTCAGCTCACAAGTTGTCAAAATCCAATATGCTGCTGAACAGGAATGACAATGGCTGAAACTGCCGAGTGGCAACCACCAGCTCCGAAACGAGGCCTAATGTGAAAACAGTGATCATGTGGCTAGCTTAGCTATGCAGCTAGCTAGCTAGCTAGCTAATGTTAGCTACATACTTTAGAAGACACGATTAACCACAAGGCAAAGACACGCGTGTTGCTGAGAAATGTTTAACTACTGCGGTAAATACTCGTTGTAAGTCTTTAACTACGCCATTTTATCAACGATACAACGCCCTTAACGAAAGCGGAGCAGCTAGTTTCACTGGGCAGCAGTGCTATCAGCTGGAGGACAAGGTTAAAGCTAACGTAAACACTTCGCAGCAGCGTGTCTCCAGGCGGCTTCTAAACACATGTCAGGCGGATTGGGAATATCGACAGCTGTAATCTTGATCATATTTATAAAATAAACACTTTAACATACCTCCTTGCCATGTTGAACAGTCGCTGAAATGCCAAAGTGTCATAGAAACAGTTGTTGACGCAGTTCAGTGCTTTCCCCAGACCTTCTTCCTGGAACAATAACAACACTGCGTCATGTCCGCAAAACGGCCTGCGTCAGGAAAATTAGAGCGCTGCAAAAATCTCAAATTACTGTATAATCAAGAATAAAGGGAAGACAAAACCTTTGGATGTATTCCCATATTGCACTACGCATATAAAAATTCAAATTGTAAAAAAAAATCCCAAATAACTGTACCAAGGATTGAACAAAGACAAAAACTGCTGGGTGCCTTCCCACATTATATAAAACATTTAAAAATTATAATATTGCAAAAATCCCCCAAAATGTATTACCAAGGATTAAACAAAGCAAAAAACTAGTGTATGCATTCTAATATTAAATTAAACTTAAAATATATATACAATATTGCAAAAATCTCAAATGACTGGATGCATTCATATATCACACAAAACATGAAACATTCCAAAATTGTAAGACTCTTAAACAATTGTGTTGCAAAGATACAAACAAAGACAAAACAAAATTGCTGGATGCATTCCCATATTGCATTCAACATTTAAAATTCTAGCATTGTAGAAATCTCACACAACTGAAACTAGTTTACTGAGGACAACAACAATGATAAAGGCAAATCAATAGCTTTGATCAACTGAAAATCCATTTTTGTTCTGTTTTATGGTTGTTTTAAACTTGGAGTTGCAAAATCAAAAAACATTAAGATATGAAGATGTTTACTTCTGCCATTCCTCAAACCCCTCCACACTAGTTAGCCCAGGTTTACAAGTGAGTAAGTACTTAGTCTGGGTGCTGCCTTAACTAGCCAATAGTTGTCCTGCTCAGACTTTGTATTATCCAACCCCCTCACTGCCCACGACTACAAATGTTCTGCTGCCAGAGTGAACACAAGTGTCATCATGCACTCCCACTATCTGAGGAACTGAAGACCCAGTGGATGACTAATGATTTTGACGGCTTTGTCACAGCAATAGGGACATCCTTAGTGTGCTTTGTGTAGGCTAACGTTACCATTAACTTTGATTGTATACCCACATGTCAGACCTCTGTGGCAATTATAAAGCTGGGGGACATACAGAGATGGTGAACATTTTAAGACCAACTTTAAACCACTAAACAAGCCTTGGGTGGGTTATTGTGTTTTCATGTTGCCTGTTGTACTTCTAACCTCAGCTGGTGTTTACAGCTGTTTACTTCTCTCCTGCTCTATGTGTTCACATGTACTGCATATTAATACAGCAGAATTCCTAATAAAGCTGTTGTCATTTACATATTTTTTGTATCTGTTTTTGGATAATAAAATGACAATGAAGCACTAACTGAAACACAGCTAATTAACACTATATGTTAACCAAAAATCACTTCAAAGCCATTTCCATGCTGCTGCTCTAATGATTTTACAACTGCAACATTATCTGACAAGTTCACCATTTATGCAAGAGTTAAAAACAATTGTTGTGCTGTGAATTTGGCAATATGTTCATGACAAATGATCACTTAGAGAAAAAGCAATTGAAAGTCAAAGCTGTTTTTCACAGATCAGAATCAGAATCAGCTTTAATGGCTCAGTACGTACACAACATACAAGGAATTTGGTTTCGGCTGTTGGTGTCACCCTAGGAATGAGCAAGGAGATTAGTAGAAAAGATGCAGAGAGAGTCTTCTCCCTGAAGGGGGCGGGGACAGCAGCATATCATAGGAGAGAAACAGTCCCCATAAAACCAGGGCTTATACCAGGGGTGTCAAACTCTGGTCCTTGAGGGCCGCAATCCTGCATGTTTTAGATGTTTCCCCTCTTCCAACACACCTGATTCAAATGATCAGCTCATCATCAAGCTCTGCAGAAGCCTGATAACGATCCTGATCATGTGAATCAGGTGTGTTGGAAGAGGGACACATCTAAAACTTGCAGGATTGCGGCCCTCGAGGACCAGGATTCGACACCCCTGGCTTATACAGTCATGGTGAATTAAAGAGTCCTCTTTGCAGTATTTTGAGCTGAAAAAATTCAAGACACATTGTCGGAACATATGAGCCTTTTTTTTACTTTGCTAAAAATGGGAACAGTATGGGACCTTCAAAAATATTGCAAATATTTTCTTTACTTTTATTTTTTCCAAACACTAATTGCATAAGTAGTGCAATTGCATAAACTAAACCACTTTTTTTTTTTAAATAATTGGACTATTTTGTATACTTCTGCTCCATTATGTCTAGGTGGGAATGTTCCACATCTTATAAATGTAACCTGTATTTTTAAAATTAAATTGTATTTATTGTTGTTAGTATAGGGGTATACGTATTTGTTGTTTGAACACGCAGTTTCTCTACAACAGCATGGACATCATGAAACAATCAAGTACAACTATATTGGAAATAATCATATGCAGATTGAGAATGGAGTCATAGACCAGAAATCACAAGTCAAAAACAAGTGTGTTCATTGTTTGCATCGCCACACATCTGCAGAAAGTTAATGAGGTTGTCGATGCTGCTCGTGGAATGTTGTTCCACTCTTCCTGAAGGGGTTGTCGAAGTTGATTGACATTTTGATGAACAGGATCACATTGTCAGACATCCAGGACTGTCTGAAACGGTTTTTTAGACAATTAATAGTGGAGTTGTGAACATTCAAGTGCCTGGCTACGACCCTAATTGACATGCAGCATGCTAACATTTCGTTCTTGTCTTTCTCTTGTCATTTATGGCATTGTGTCATTTGAATAAAAGTACATTTCAAGGTCATTTGTCTAAAGAGTGTCTCTGTGCTGGTCAAGCTGTCTGTCCATTGTCCTTTAAAGCCACATCTGACTCAAGGTCAAGAATTTGTCACCACATGAACTGCTTAAAAAAAAAAGTTTTTTGTGCACAATTGGTTAAATTTTGCTCTTTTCTAACAAAAACAGTAGCAATAAGATAAACAACTTTTTCTCTAAGTCAGAAAAGAATACACAACTTTCACTGAACTTTTGTTCTGTGTACTTGAACAATAAAAAAATGCTACTTGGCTCAAAAACAGTAACCAGAGGAGCAACTTGTCAGCAAGTTGTTAGAAAATACATTTAGCGTGGTGAATTATGTTTTCAAAGTTAATGTGCAGAGTGGTTGAAATAACTAGTTTGTAGAGGCTGTAAAACTGTAAGTCATAAATTATGTATACTATAGGGCCACCATTTCATTTTTAAGTACTGGTAGTACCTGCGGTTGCTTAGAAAACTTTTGTGTGTCTTGATTTTTGTTTTTTGTTTTTGTAAGTAAATAATCAAAGAAAATCATTTTTTCTTTTTCTTTTAATGCTTTGTGGCATTATATTGGTGTTGTGCTTTACAGAAGACATTTTTGAAGTTCTTTTTACTTCTCGTCATGGTTCTGTTGTTTCCATAGAGGTGCAGGATGTTAAATAGTTGTGCTTTCTTAACTTATACCTTTCACTTCATAATTTTTTCAGTGTGAATATTGTACATTTTGCTTTATTATATTTATTTCAGAGCTTTAGTTACAAGTTGTTTTGTCAATACACATTTTAGACATAGGCATAAAATATGATGCATATGATGATGAAGGATAGATCAATTATCAGATCTGATATCCAGTATTTATCTGTATCATTATATTTTAAACTGCTTTAAAAAATAAAATTAATTAATTGGGCTGTGGCGCAGCTACCTCTTTCTATTCATAATCATCATTGTGTGGTCCCACAGCACTATCTGATTACTTACAATAGCCCATATCATTAAATTAGAGCAATGTAAAGCTTAAACAATGGTATTTCAAGTCAGTCATATATTAGAGTTTGTGTTGTTCTCTTTCCCGAAACAGACAAACAAGAACCTCTGGTAGAACCAGGCTCAGGGAGGGTTACCATCTGCCTCAACCAGTTGGAATGAGGGGAAGGGGGAGAAAGAACAGGATAGCAGACTTAGAAACAGACAAACAATGCATAAGAGAACAACACATTAGAGGTCGGTGAGGCCAGTGACTGCAGATTAGAAACATGTAGCTCCACATCCAGAGATACCTGCAGAGAAGACAAAACACAAACTACAGGAGAAAGAATATACAAAGTTAATGACATGCAATCATGGCATATATAATTATATGGAAAGAGGACAGCAAAGGAGAGGTGCTCAGTGGATTATGGGAAGTCCTTCAGCAGTCTATGCCTGTAGCAGCATGACTAAGGGATAGTTTAGGGTCACCTTATGTAGCTTTAACTATAGGATTTACCAGAGGAAAGTTTTAAAACTAATCTTTATATATATAGCTATTAAGCCCTATAACATGCAAGTTTATTGTTAAAATGAGCCCTCTCAACTAAAAGAGTACTAAACATACACATTAAAGTATAAGTAATAGTGGCAAAATAATATGACAAGTAGGTTTTATGGTTTGTGTACATTTTTGAAGACAATACTTTACTTAACGTCTTAAGACCCAAGCTCTTGTTTGATATGCATTTTTTATTTCTCTTTGCTATTTGATCTGATCAAATAATATAAAAATAAAAAATAAAA